ATCAGGCCAACTGGGCCTTCTATTCCTTTAAATTCCTTTGGCCCGGTGCCTTTGAATGTTTTAAAACTGCATCCTCTCTCCTTTGCAGTCAACTCGGTTTTCTCAATGATGAGCGACTCCACCTTCTCTTTATTGGACACTTCCTCCCTTTCAGGGACTTGAGTGTTCTCGTGTCAAACGCTTCCTTCCTCCCCACCTTCATTATCCTTAAGTTTGTCACCCAGCATTTCTTTAAGCATAGTTGGCAACGTATCCTGGAGGACTCGTGCCATTTGCTCAGCCATCACTTCCTTTGTGAGAGGAATTTCTCCTCCTTGGCCCCCTTGGCTCCTACCGACAGCCAAACTAGTTGGCACGGATGGGGTCGTACTCGAACTAGCGGTTTGGACACTTCCACGACCTCAACTTTGGGCTCGTGTCCGTCCCCGAACTGTCGGTTGGGTTACGCCATTGATACCTCCCCCATTGTGGGCGTTCCTTGTTGATCCGCGAGAAACCATACTGACACAATAGAGTATTATTGTTTTAACAAGGTTCTAGTGTCGACTTAACATATTATATTTATGTATATACATTATACGTATACATATACATATATAGTAAAATCATTATATATATCAGCGAAATACGTGATAAGGAATTCACGTCGCAATTGCATAATGTTCCAAAATATATATATATATATATATATATATATATATTTCGTTCTAATACAATCCTGGGGAGAGAGCGAGATTACAAAGTCCCATTTACTTACAAAATATGGGATGCTTCAGGGTTCTAAATACAGGTAAATGTTCCAAAAATCTATCGTAGCACTGGCTAGAAGATACTACCTAAACACGTACAATTAGTTCTCCTACTCAAAAGATCCTTCTCTCATCCCTGATCTCATGTCTAAAACTGATCTGTAGAGTAGTAAGGGAGATAAGGGTCCCTTACCCATTCTTCAAATGATGTGGAGGGCCTGGAGTGCCACCACACACTAGCCCTTGGGCCATTCTTGATGCATCGGACCCATTCGAAGAAATAACCCCTCACTACACCAGCATAGTCTACAGTCATTCTCTTATAGAAGTGAACTTTGTCTCTGATTCTAGTGCTTATTGGACGAGCAGCAATTCTCCGCTCTTGTTCAAGCACAACTTTGTCCCAAATCAGGGCATGACACTGGTCCGACAAATCCGCATTCTCTTCAATCAGCTCGATTAGGGTTCCTCCTTGTTCGACATGTGCCCGCTGAAGATTGTTCAGCCATTCATTCAGTCTAGTATTGTCATCTAACGTTTGGGTCACCCTCTCCCTTAGCCTTGTGTTCTCGCCCTCCAGGGTCTCTATTGTCTCCATCATGTCCTCACGTGTCGGGGTACGGGGCGTGTAGTCCACCGAAGGTTCGGGCATGGTCCCTTGCCTGATGGGCTCGCGTGATGACACTTCACTAGTGTGGGCCGGACTATCGCTTCCGGACTGGGTACTGGGAACCTGCCCGGTGCTAGGGCGGTGTCTGCCAATCGACCCTCTATTCGGTCCTAGCCCGTAAGGCGTCCTACGGGTTCCGTATCCGCGTCCGCGTCCGCGTTTGATAGCCCTGGTGTGAATAGTGTGAACCATGTCTCCTACAAATAAAAAGGAACACTAAGTCGAGTAGTGACGTAGGATCAAACTTAATCGCATGCTAAGCGCACCAATACACAATAAACAATGCTTCTAATAATCCTTTCAGTTTAAGCTTAGGCTAAGCAAATCTCAACCTATTTACCTTAAACTAAAGCTCTAACAATCTTCTCAGTTTAAGTTTAAGCTAGGTAAGTTTTAGCCTAATTACCTTAAACTAAGGCTCTGATACCAACTTGTAACACCCTCATTTTCATCAAGAGAGATGTCACGTAATCTGAAACATTTCCTTAATAAATACACCAAAGTAATGGCTAATTTAAAACCATTTA